TCTAAGAACTCTGCCAGCTTCATATCATCTGTAATAATTAGAATTGTTGCAAAACTAAAGAAGAAATGTGATTAATGAAAAAATGAATCCTCTTAAGCTCTTTTCATTATAAGTTGCACTGTGTTGGGACACGCGAGTGCACACACACACACGCACACACACGTGTTCAAACACCCTGAATGACTTGCTCAGCCCTAGTTCTGTGGAAACCAAGTAGACTCTATGGAAAAAGGTAATCTTCACCAGGTAAACTCAGATAGCCTTCTAAAGGTAATCCAGTCACATGCACACATATCAGAAAGTTAGTTATACGAAAACACATTAGGAAAGCAACACTTTATTTTCTTTTTAAATATGTCTGGACTTCTAAACAACTGTGACCTAAGCAATACTAATGATATTTTTATTAACTGGTTCCTTAGAAACATATGTTACCATTGACTTTTTTTTTTTTTTTTTGGAAGAGGCTCCTGGATTAACTCTTTTATCTTAAGACTGTTTTTTAAAACAGCAGAACAGGTTTAGGTTCACAGCAAAATTGAGAGGAAAGCACAGAGTTTTCCTGTATACCCTATGCCCATACATTATTAACTCTTTGTAAATTAATTTTAGCTATTATACAGGTACATTTCTTGTTGTCAAGCCCAACATTTTATTATGGAAAATTTCAAACTTATGTAAAATTAGAGAGTACTACAATCTACCCCATATATCCATCACCCAGTCATTCAATAAGAGCCAGTCATGTTTCTTCTCTAGGCCCACACACTTCACACATTTGCTGCCCCTCAGTAGATTTTTTGAATTACAAATATAAACTAACAGCACTTCCTTAATATTATCAAACACCTAGTTATTTAAAAAATTTCCTCAGTTGTTTCATGAATGTTTTAGTTGCAGTTTGTTTGACCTATATCTAAACCACTCTTAAAGGTTCTTAATCTGTACTTTCCTTTTTTTCTTTTATTTCTTTCTATTGATTAGTTTAAAAGTCAGGCTATTTACACCGTAAATTTTCTCTTTGTCTAGATTTTTACGATAGACTAGTTTCTCTCTGTGTCATATAGCATGCTCCCTGGCTCTGTGTTTAATCTGGTAATGAGATGCAGAAGAAGTTTGGTGTGACTGATTTTTTTTAAGAATATTTCATTGATGGAATTAGGTGTTTCTATTATCAAGTATATATTCTGATGCTCTCTTTTGGTGATTTTAGTAGCCATTGATAATCGTTTTCTGAATCCATTATTGCATTAGGGGTTTATAAAATGGTAATTGGGTAATTTCATCATTCTTAATTGATTACCTAGAATATACACATATATATGGAAAAATATTTTTCTTCATTACTTATGTATTTACTCTGAAGTATATTTCATGCAAGAAGGACAGATGAAATGTTTAACTCTTTCCCTTTACTTGCCAGTTCTAATAATATAACTGTAACATTTCCAAAGGTAGCTACTGGGTTTTCTCTTTTTAGTATCATTATGAACTCATGATTTTGATGTATGTATAGTCCAGGTATTATTTATATTGATAATAAAATTATCCCATCTTTGGATACAGTCTGCTCCAGTGAAAATATTTTCAGTATGGTCACTGTGTTGTTTTGGCCCCAGCAGGCTCTGAAAGCTTACTTGATTTTATGGTACGACAAGGTGAGAATTGTGAGAGTTCTGACTGAGAACCTCGACTCCAAATGTCGTGGATATCATTACTTGTTTGCACTGCCCCTCAACCTTTTTTTTTGTATATACCAATATTATTAAAAACAATGTGATTACTAAAAACAGGTTAAATTGTCACTTTTTGTGTCCTTTCACAAAAAATGATGAACAATTACTGTTTTTTACAATCACTTAAAATAATTCCTCTCTCTAAGCCACCACTTAACTATGGAGTTAGGTTCATTCATTTCATTTTTATCTGGAATTTTGAAGGATAATTTTTATTTAATTTTGTTTACAAATATGTAAAATATAATATGTGAAACAGTTACATGGTTTTAAAGTCAAATCTATAAAACAAGTTATATTTAGAGAAGTCTATTTTCTTTCATGTCCCTTTTACTTTGTTTATTTTGTCCCATTTCTCTGAGAAGGAAAATACATATGTGCCTGTGTTAAACACACTCATACATTTGCACTCTGAGAAAAATTGCAGCCTATTATACACGTCTTTCTTCAGTGGGCTTTCTTTCCACTTACGCCAGGCCCTGGAGATCATTCCACAGCAATATAGGGAGATATATTTCAATGTCTTACAGCAGCACACAATTCCTTTGTTTGACCATAAATTATTCAATCAGCCCCTTTTTGATGAACAGTGAGGTTACAGCTTTTTACAAAAGTTTTACAATGAGCGTGGATGTGTCAGTTAATTTATATCCAAGGGTGCCTCTGATATAGATGTCTGGAAGTGGAATTGCTGGGTGAAAGGGCAAGTGCAAAGGTAATTTTGCTAATTTTGCCAAATCACCCTCCGTCGGTGTTGTGACATTTTACAAACACATTTAATTGGACAACGAAAGACTATAGATTTATATAGAGCCAACTTAAAGACTAAACATGATCTGATGTCAACAGAAGCATAGAATCATCCGAAATCTGCATTGCATGTTTATTTGTTGCTTTTCTGTCGGTAGCTATTTATATATGAGTTCTGTCTTGATGGGAGCTTCTGTCACAGGATAATATTTGCTAAATCTAACTCATGGCAACTATGCCATCAAAATTATCAATATTCCAATACATTCTCAGCCAACTGCTTCCACATGGTTCACCTTTTCATCAGACACTTAACAGGAATAGAAATTACAAATTCATTCGTTGTCCATACCTCATAGTAGGTATTAGCCCTTTCATCATAAACAGTAACCTTTACATTAGGAAACCATCTCCAAAACTCACTAATTTTTAGATGTGGAGAATAATGAAATTTTTAAAATATCATTTTAAATACGTAGATTTTCTTCTTCAGGGTGTCTTAGCATGGGTTGCCGTTACACTCCGCTGCTGTAAACTGTTAAACCATCCATAATGAGACGACTGACAGAGCCCAATAGTCCCGGAGCCTTCTTAACCCACTGCTCCTAAACCTGCTGCTCCTTATGGACATAATGAGGGGGAATTCATTTTAAAAGGCGCTGACTATTGATTCCTTAATGGCAGAAGACATGTGGAGAAACGCCGCAGGGGGCCTATTCTGCACCCTTGCGGACAGCACCCCCCCACTGCCCAGGGCGGAGACGTGCGGGGCCTCATGGGCATTTACTAGGCCGGGTGAGCTGGGTGCAGGCGGCAAAGGCGCCCTGGGCACAGGCCCCCCTAGTCCACGGGAAGGCTCCAGGCACCTGTGTACACGAGCCCCGCTTTCCCTGGCTTCAGATGGTTCGTGTGCAGAACCTCATGGCATTCAATCCCCTTTTGCGATCTCTGGAAACACCTGCTAGGCGAGCCGGGGGGACCGGTGCTCTGGGAAGTCGCTCTAGGTCGCCGAGCTCCGCAGGAGCAGCTTTGTATTTTCCAGTGCAGCTCCCAGTTTCAGCCGTTTTCTGTCTCTCCTCTTGCCATAAGCTGACGGGCCTGTTCAGCAGGGTGGAAAGTCAGCAAAAGCAGCTGATCGTCTTACACGGCCAGCGTCCTTAGGAGTATCCTGCACCACGCTGTCTGTCAGGCTAAGCCCTTGTCACATGTCAGGGGCTTTTAATTTCAGCTCATTTAAAAGGGAAACAGAGCTTTAAAGACAGCTGTTGGGGAGAGATGACTATGAGAGTCTTTGACGCTCACTTGAACTAAAATCGTCTGTGACACCTGAAAGGACAGCGTTTATAGGTGACTGGCTCCCATTATTAACTTTCTAATCAGCAGATTATTTTTTCAGTACCACCAACTTATTTTGAAGATATAAGCTTGAAATGAGATGGAGTTATTAAGATAGAACATACTCNAACTTTCTAATCAGCAGATTATTTTTTCAGTACCACCAACTTATTTTGAAAATATAAGCTTGAAATGAGATGGAGTTATTAAGATAGAACATACTCTTGGGATTTGTGGGTTAAAGGACATAAGAATAAATATCACCTTTTTAAACAATGTATAAAATTAAGCAGAGTGAGGAAATAATCAATTTTTTGACTCAATGACTAAAGATTTTTGAAATGTGTTTAGGAGAATCATTTACTTTATGGAATATCAGAAACTGTTTATAATTACCGGCCTAGAATGAGTTGCATAAGCATAAACGTTTACCTTTGCCGGACAAAGAGTAACCAAGGGAACAAGTCTTCTATTAACGTATTGAGTTTTTTTCTCAAAACCAGCGAATGAAATTCACCTGAGGTCTCATTGTAATTCCATGTTAAATGTGGAAAATTTCAGTTTTACTTTAAACCTTAGGCTGCGCACGACTAAATGCTGTTTTGGATTTATCAATAATAGGTCTCTGTGTATGCCTTCTCTTTCTGACATTAAGTAGAGAATTTCAAATTAGCAAGAGTTAGCAATAGAAAATGTATTTGGGCTTATTTTTGGGTTTTTGACAGATATGATCTTTATGAAGCAAAATGTTTACCTACACAGATGCTTTTTCTGTTTGTTTTGTTGTTTATTGGTTGGTTGGTGGGTTAGTAACACATGCCATTCATATGAGCAAAAGCAACATTATAACATAAAAAATTAATAGATTATCTCCAAGGTGTCTAACACTATAACATAAAACATATGAAGATGCTTTATCAACTGTAAAATTACAATGTTAATAATAGTTACATCTTCAGTGTCTTTAGCTATTCTAGAGAGAACTCTTTTCCTTTTTATTGAATTTGTTGGGGTGACTGGTTAACAAAATCATGCAGGTTTCAGGTGCACCACAGATAACTTTTTAGCACTGTATTTGGATCACTGATGCTTATTGAACCGTAATCTATTTTGCACTTTATCTGTGACAGTCACAAATCCTAAACTTCCTTCCCTTTCCCTTCCTTTCCTGTGTTACAGCGCAGCAGCAGCTTTGGGAATTTCGATCGTTTTCGAAATAATTCCGTATCAAAACCAGAAGATTCAACTGAGGTGAGCACTTACTGTGTTTTTATGAATATTGTGCAAACACATGAAAATTTATACAGCCAATATCACTTTTGTAAAGCATAGTAAAAAAATATATGTGTTTAAAAATTATAGCTTGCTTATATTTTTGTGATAAATGAACAAAATTCCTTAGTACCTAGTGCCATGCTGGGAGGAAAGAGAAGCCCAACAGACATTTGGGGAGGCAGAACATGAATTTAAGAAGACAGTTACAGCTTCGTGTAACGCAGACAGTCCCAAGCTTTCTGAGCATTTCCTCCAAAAAACAATCTGCATGCTAAATTTTATTTGAGTAGTAATTCCTTTAATTTAGGAAATGATTAGATTAATAGTAAATTTCTTAAGGAAAGCCTATGGCCACTCAGTTACACTCTCACACTTCTGCCATCTGCACTGAAATGTCTCAGTGGTGAGCATTCCATACACATTTGCAAACAATGAGCCCTTGAAATGTAGCTTAAGAAAGCTTCCTAGGTGTACTGCACGTGATACATTTGTTTTAGAGCAATAGGTTTCAGATTTTATTCACTTCCTAATCATTTTAATTAGTGTGCCTTTATTCTTTCTTTTTAAAAAAGAATTTTTCCCTTTATTGGATCTACTTTCTCAAAATACTTTTCAGATTCTTATATGCATCTATCTATGGTATTTTAAAATATGTTAATTTTAGTAATGGATATTCTAGACAAAAAAGTAAAAATAAAATGACATCTATTATTACCTTATAAATACCTCTATTAGTACTAATATGCATGTGTGTATAACATATCACCTTTTATACATATAATATATTATATGTATTCCCTTTTATCCATCTATATATTTATATACATATGCTTATTGATAAACTTGTATATAGCTATATGGCCTATCAACATTTACACTAGTGTAAATAATACAATGTAATATATATATATGTATAGTGAGAAACCCTGCACAATTTTATTTTTATTTAACGCATTGTATAAACGTTTAACTTTCCATAATCATACATAGGTACATTCTATTGTTATTAAGTTTATAATTGTAGAGTTAACCTAAAAAGTTTCTCAGGCGCATTCAAGTTCATTGATTAGTAATAGTGACATAGTATTTGTGAAACTTTAATGAGCCTGATAAAGTAGCTTGTACATCTTTCAGCAATCTAGCATTCATTCATTTAACAAATATTTATTTTATAACAGGATTTCCATTAGGCATTCAGAAAGTACTGTTATGGTAACAGATGAAAATCCTTACTTCTTGAAGCCTGAATTCTAGAGGGAGATAGGTTAAAACAGAAACAAAAAAAATAAAATTTTAAATGAAATCTTGATCAGGCTAGGAGGGAAAAATAACATAGAAAAATCTGAAATTAAAAATATTTGGGGCAGTTTTAGAAGTTTAGGCAATGGTAAATTAACACAGATACTGATGAAATAACACACTTTCTTATTTATTTTAATTTGTAATTTTACATGAAGATTAAGTTTAAATAGGGAAAAGAGAAGAAAAAGGCTAACTCTAAAATTTTAAACTGTTTCCAAGTTATATTTTATTCAGAGTTTTTTGAATTAAGCAGAGAACCTTTGTCTTTATAACTTTGAATGTAGAAATTAATAAAGTGCAATGAGGGCTTAAATTGGCTGTCCATTCATATTTATCATAGGCAATTTAGGGTAAGACATGAAGCAAAACATAGTATTGATTAATAATGATGTTAACTATGTAGTTAAACCTTCATATTAAAATATTCAAGTTCACTCAGGAGAAGTTTCCCATGATCTTTTCTATTCAGGGAAGCACTAGCTGCCCACCTATTTGGAATGGTGGGCATGGCTAGACTAGCTCACCTGCAAGGGCCCTCTCTCACAAAACTGAGATATTCAGGACGTGACCCAAAAACATCTTCCAACATAAAAAATCACTCCAAAGTTCTACTTGGGAAGTTTTGCTTATTCAAAATGTATTACGGTTCAGTTATGTTCCTGGAAGTGTCCTAAGCACCCACAATGAATAAAGCAGGTGAAGCCTCTAGTCTCATGGGGCACACGTCATAGCGGGGGGCGCAGGCAGGGAGCAAACAGACAAACCAATGTGACCAGGTTTTTAGAAGAAGAGTGAATCAGGTAAACAGGCAGTGAGTAAGGACAAGTGCGAGCTGTTTTAAACAGGTGGTCAATCAGAAAATGTCCCTTGTGTTATAAGGCACCGATTAGAAACCCGGAGGAAGGAAGGATGGACAGGCTCCAGGGAAGCCAGTGGCAAAAGCAAGTGCAAACCTCGTCGAGACCACGAAGAGAAGCGGCGGGGGGCCAGTGCGGATGGCAACACTTGATTATTTCCAAACTTTAGCATGCATCAGAATCACTTGAAGAGTTTGTTAAAAATGCAAATTGTCCCCAAGGGCTGCTGCTGCTGCTGGTGGTGGGACCAGGTTTTGAGGCGCAGAGCTGTAGGAGCAGGGGGAGCGTGAGAGGCGCTGGAGGTGGGCCGGGCATCTGTTCTGTCTCATGCACACTGTGCAGTGCAGTGCCTGCCACGTTACACAGTGTATTAGTTACGTTGCCACATCAGCTTGTGGCACAGAGCACTGTCCAGATGAAGGCTTTTTGTTGCTTTATTGTCTAATCTTTTGTAAACAACTCCAACTAGGTGTACGAGGGGGAACCTATAAATGAAAATGGAGACAAAAATAAAAACTCGAATCACGGAGGTTTAAGTAAAAAAAAATTGTCCATTTCCTGGACAATGAAGAAAAAAGTGGGTAAAAAGTACATCAAAGCCCTTTCTGAGGAGAAGGTAAGTGTGCTTTGTTAACCATCTGTATCTTTCTATTAAACTTTTCTTAAAATAGTTAATATGTTCTTCTAGACGTAGACATGCTTGTGCTTTGAAAGGACTTCGGCATCTACTTCTCGCTCAGTCATGGGCCCAGAACCTGGGTGGAAGGAAGTATTGTGACTCCCGTTTTCACAAAGGAAGCTGGGGTTCAAAAAGATCACACATGTAGTATGTGAAGAACACGTGCAATTTATGTTGTAGAAAACAGCGTTGCATTCCTTTTTATTGACAGATAATATTCCATTTTAGAGATAAGTCACATTTTATTTATCTTTTCATCAGTTGATAGACATCTGGGTTGCAATTACATTTTGGCTATTATAAATAATGCTGATATTGATACTTTTGTGCAAATTTTTGCATGGAAACATTTTTTCATTCCCTTAGATATATGGTAACTCTGGTATTCTGAGAAACTGGCAACCTGTTTCCCAAAGCAGTTGCACCATTTTACAGTCCCACTGGCAGTGTACAAGGTTTCCAATTTCTTCGCACGCTTGTCAACACCGGTCATTATCTATCTTTCTGATGCTAGCCACCCCAGGGGGTGTGCAGTAGAACCTCCATGTGATTCTGATGTGCTCTTCCTTGAAGACTGATGCTGCCGAAAATCTTCATGTGCTTATCAGCCATGTGTGTATCTTCTTTGGACACAGGTTTATCCAAATATTTTCCCCACTTTTTAGTGGGCTTATCTTTTTATTGTTGACTTTTAAGCATTTTTAAAATATATTCTGGGTACAGATCCTTTATCAGATATATGTTTTGCAACTTTACACATACACACACACACACTCACACAGCCTAACACACTAAAATGCGCCTCATTAGCAAGAACCCTGTTACCTTACTCACCAGGGTATGCCAAGTTCCCAAAATAGTGCCGGGTACTTGGAAAGCATTCTACAAACTTGGGCTGCATGGTGAACATGTGAATAAAGGGATGGATAAAAACAGAGAATCAAATGCAGTGTAAACCAAATGTATACTCTGAAGTTTTATTAATGTTTAGAAGTGCTCAAAAATGAGGAATATTAAATTACATTTTGATGAATATTAAGAAATTCATAGGTTTTGTCTGAATTTCTAAATATGGAAAGCTTTTGAGATGTTTTCAAGCCGATGTAATTTGTTATGAAATTGTCTGTCTTTCTAATTTTATGCAGAATTTGCTTTTCACTTGACTGGGTGGCAAGCATGGTATGAGATTCGTAAAGCTCTTTAGATAAGCTTTGCTTTAGAATTGCAAAATGCGCATGTTTTATTCATATCTAGTGACCTGGTGGGGTGCAAATAACTGACATGAAACAACGATGCAGAGTTAGAACTCGTAATATCAGATCTCGAAGGAGTTAATGGTGGTAAATGGTGATAAAAAAAGAACATAAAGAAATAAAAGTGCTTTAACAGAAAGAGCATACATGTCAATAAGTCTAACATTTCTCATTAAATAGTCTTGATACGATATTTATCCTAATTTACAAAATGCATCATTATAACTTTGGTTGAATTTCATAACGTGGAATGTTCTAGGTAAAGACTTTTCCCAAGTATACTATCAAATGTTTTGCTAGAAATTGAATTCAAGATTAATGACTCTCGTATTTCATATTGATGTATGCTAAGTACTCTATTGCTAAACTATATCTTGCTTGTTAAATCGGTGCGCACAGTGAACATCTCCATGGGAATCAGGGATCTAATCTTAGCCTCTGGTATGTTTTCCTGAAGGGTGAGGAAGAGGGGGAGGATGCCCTCCCATATCGGAACAGCGACCCCACGATAGGGGCCCGCACGGAGGTCTCCCTGAAAGCCAGTGACTCCCTGGACAGTCTCTACAGCGGGCGGAGCTCGTCAAGTAAGGGCCGGAGGGGGGGCGCGGGCCC